TCTCCCAGTTTCTAGCCTGGCACCTTCATCACTACACCAAACTGGCTCTCCTTGAGTATATTTGTTGGAAACTTACTGTGGATAATTTCTAGCTTAGTTTCCACCCAGTATGCTCCCAGTAAATCACTTCCTGTATCAGAGGAAGTCCACGTGCCACTCAGTTCAGCTAGCAAAAATGACAGCTTGATGTTCACTTATTAAGCAGCAGCAAACAATAAAATACTTTCTGGCAAAATGGGATGAAAGGCCAGCAAAAGCAGGGAGAGAAAGAAACAGGTTTTTTCCCCCCTTACTCCCTTGCAGAAAGAGTTTTTTCCCTTAGTCCTGCAAAAGCCATTCCCATCCACAGAACCCACCTAAACAGAGTCTTCCCAAGCTGGATTCCACAGAATCCTAGAGCTCCAAGAAGATGTGAATGGGGCTTTGCGCATGGCTGAATCCTGTCACCATCACGTTACATCGTGAGCAAACTGTGTCCACTCCACTAGGTAGACCGGACTATTGTCTTCTAATACTCTGGTGAGTCAAGGAGGTGTCTCTCTGAGCCACTTCCAAATGTTATCTCGTTCTCGACTTACAAAATGCTTCCGCCCCTTTTGCCCAGGCAACAGATCCTACCTATCTCTGTCAAAGTCATCTTTCTTACTTTCGACAAATTGTGAGTGGATTTTCACCTCATGTTTTGCTTCTTTCCTTGATTTCAGGTACTGTTTCCTATCAGCTGTCAGGAGGTGAAGGTGAATCAAGTGGACAATCTGAGGTTGAACGGAAGAGGAGTGACTCCCCAGTGTATCGGGAAGACGACGTTGCAGAAACCGGCCTCCCCAGAAGACCTCATAAGAGAAGAGAAAGAAGCGAGTGTCTTGTGTGTGAGAAAACGTTCAGCTATAAATCGAGCCTTAAAGCTCACTGGAAACTCCACACTGGAGAGAAACCCTTCCAGTGCTCTGAGTGCCGAAAGAGCTTCAGCAAAAGCACGTACCTCGTTTACCACCAGAGAATCCACACCGGCGAGAGACCGTACCAGTGTTCGGACTGCGGGAAGAGCTTCAGCGTGAGCAAATACCTCACTTCTCATCAAACGATTCACACCGGGGAGAAACCGTTCAAGTGCTCGGAGTGCGGGAAGGGCTTCCGTCAAAACTCGGACCTCTCTACCCACCAACGAACTCACACTGGAGAGAAGCCCTACCGGTGCCTCGAATGCGGGAAGAGCTTTAGCCAAAGCTCCAGTTTCAACAAACATCAGAGGATTCACACCGGGGAGAAACCGTACACCTGCTCGGAATGCGGAAAGAGCTTTGTGGCTAGCGCGTACCTCACATCCCACCAGCGCGTTCACACTGGCAAGAGACCGTACACCTGCACGTTGTGCGGAAAGGGCTTCACAAAGAGCCCACACCTGGTTTTCCATCAAAGTATTCACACGGGAGAGAAGCCGTATAAATGCCCAGAATGTGGGAAGAGCTTCACGCAGAAGGCGAACCTCACTTCCCATCAGAGAATTCACACTGGGGAGAAACCCTATCAGTGCTTGGAGTGTGGGAAAAGCTTCACGCTGAAAGGAAATCTCACCACCCACCAACGGACTCATACCGGGGAAAAACCCTACAAATGCTTGGAATGTGGGAAAAGCTTTAGCCATTGCACGAGCCTCAATTCTCACCAGACCACTCACACCCGAGTGAAACCCTACAAGTGTCTGGAGTGTGGGAAGAACTTCAGCACCAGGAAATACCTTTCTTATCATCAGAGAATCCACACAGGAGAGAATCTGTTTAAATGCTTAGAGTGCGGGAAGAGCTTCTGTGTGAGCACCAGCTTGACTTTACATCAGAGGATCCACACAGGGGAGAAGCCATATAAGTGCTTGGAGTGTGGCAGGACTTTTACTCAGAGCTCCAGCCTTAACAGCCATCAGAGAAGTCATCGTGGAGAAACCGTAGATATGCAAGGCGGTTATAATGAACACCATTTGCAATACAATCCAAGTTTGAAGTGGACCACAGTGAACATGCCGATTGTTAAATATGATGTCTGAGTCATCACAGCAAAGAAGTCGTTTGCTAGGGAGAAACCACAGGAATGTCTTATCAAGATCCACAGAGCTGGCAAACTCGAGAAGCGACAACCGCACAGGTTTTAGGAAAACATCTTTAATGCTGGCCAGGGTAACTGCATAATCTTGCAAATTGGAAAAGTTCCCAGGCAGACTTATAGCAAGCCAATTAAAGCAAAATCTCTCTGAAATGTTTCCTGCCCATAGGCCCGATCTCTGGGCTGCCTCTTCCCGCACCCACTGAACTCCTCTGCCTGATTCCCATGGTCTCTCATGTGTCCATAATGTGGAAGCAGTTTCACTCAGATTCTCAAAGTATTCCTAGGGTGTGAAAGAGTAAGGTGGCCCTTTTTGTGGGGCAAGGAGGCAAATGCTGATGATAGACTGAGACATATCTTGAAGCACTTTATAGAAAAGCAGGGTGTCGATATTAATCTAGATGGAATAACAGAGAACAGGCAGCCTGATCTGAGGGTGGTTGGCTACAGTCTGGATGAAAGATGGGATTCTGTGTCCTGGAGGAGAATTGGCAGGCTCCAGGCGAAGTGGTTTGCTGGAGGAGGATAGGGCGATGGTAAGATCTCGGTGGTGATGCAGAGGTGGATGTGGCAGGAGGCAGGGTGGGCCACCCTCAGAGAATGTGTCCTCAGTGTTTGACACCGACTGTGCCTCCTGGCCTGCTGTTCCCCACCCCAATGCCTGGTCATCAGGTCCTTGGAGAGCTTAATCTCAGGATGTTGCAGCTTAATGCTAGGTCAGTCTGTGATAACCCTTTCCTCCTACGATACCTTATTTTGGAAGAGAGAACTGATTTGGCCTGTATTTATGAAACTGGGTGGGCCATGGAAGGAAGGTTCCCCTTTTGGAAATATGCCCGCCTGGGTTCCAAGTGTGGTAGGTGCTTCAACCCCAGGGCAAGGGTCAGGGCATATAATAGTATGTGAGAATGACCTTGGGAGACATAGGGAAGAGCCGTAGCCAGAGCAATGGTCAGATAAGCAGCTTAGCTCACAGAAGGAATGTGGGGTTGACAAATGTTTCAGAAAGGACCCCCCCCCCCCCGTTTCTTGGGCTGTAAAGGCAATAGGGGAGAAAGGTACTTTCAGACTTGCAAGCTTCTGTTAATGTAACCTTACAATAAAGTAGAGCTAGTCCATCTGGGTATGCTTCTTGTCTGGACTACCTCGCAAGGCAGAGAGGGAGTGGCTGTTATTATCCAGGAGACTCTTGTGAGTTTTAGAGGCGCTGCTCTGCAGATAAACAGATGTGAGACCCTATTTGTGAAGCAGGGCTCTAGGAAACAGATGGGATTGTCATTCTCGTACTGGCCTCCCTGCTGCAGACCCACATCCCTGCCTGAGTCACTCATCAGAGTTGCCAGCCGATCGGTGGAATTCCCCAGGCTGACGATTCTGGGAGACTCTAATCTGCTCTCCTTAGGCACCAACTTGGGAGCGTTTCAGAGTTGATAGCCACTATGGCAAACATGGACCTAACCCAAGTTGTGGAGGACCAACATACCGGGCGTTGGATCTCATTTTTGTCTTGGGGCAGTGGCGATGTGATCTGGAGTTGGGGAGTGTTTCTGTTTTACATGGGCAGATCACTCTTGGATTGCTTTGGAGTTATCCTTACTCCACTGCAGGGAGGTAAGACCTATTCATCTGATCCACCACAAGTGCTTGATGGACCCAGTTGGGTTTCAGGGAGTACTTGGTGGAATTCCGGAGGATCTAGTCACACTTCAGCTGAGGCCTCAGTCACCACTTGGAATGGCATGGCCTTAGACTGAATTGCACCTGCAATAGCCGCTCTCTGCCCACGGATCCTGGAGAACCCTCTGGTCTTCAGAGGAACTCCAGGAGATGAATGTCAGCCCCGCTAGGTAGATCAGACCAAGTACAGCCTCTCCTCATTTAGTAATTGCAATCTGTTCCTTAAATCAAAAGCAAAATGGCCGCTAAGTGAAATGGTTGCTAAGTGAACATGTGACTGAAGAGAGAGAGAGAGAGAGAGAGAGAGAGAGAGAGAGAGAGAGATGCTGTGCAGATCACTGGTTGGTACCGTCTCATTTAGATAAAGTTCTCTTGTACAGCTATGCCAGCGTTACTCTCACTTCAGCGTGTATTGCTGTCAGGCACATGAAATTTGGTCGTAAGTGGAGGCATTGGTCAGAAAATGATTTTTTAAAAAAATTATTGTCGTGTTTGCAAATGGTCACTAAACGGGGTAGCTGCTACATGAGGAGTGTCTGTAATCCACTCCATAGGAAGGCTAAAGGCTCATACTTTTATTGAGATTGGCCATAATAACAAAATCTTGCAAGTCTGATTATTCTGTGCCTCCTCCCCCTCCTCCTTATAGTTCAGTGAATTTGGGAGGCGTCTGCCATTCTGGGCTTAAGAAATATTTCAGCCCCTTTTACCTAGGTAACAGTTCCTGCATATTTCCATCAAGGACATCTTCCTGACTCTCTGCATGAAACAGCAGAAGAGATGTCGGGAATATCGCTGGAGGAAAATAAAGAGCAAATCCAACCAGACACAGATAAGAGCCTTTATTACAGATAGCACTGTGGCAATAGAATGGCAAAACAGAATTATTTTGGCACTCTTATTTGCATCCACAGATTGCCTTCCGGCAACCCTATTTAAGGCAACTCAGTCCTTGTTGGGAGGACTAAGTTAGAGGATTATTGCAGGGTTGCTGTGAGAATTCTTCATGGCATCTACCTGATCAAATTGCGTGGATCCACTCGGACTCTAGCTGAACAGGTCTCATGCAGCAAGCTGAGGTATGATGATGTGGTTATCTAGGAAGAGTTTTATCCTGTTGGCCTTGAGTAAGAGAGCAGGGATCTTGGAGCTGTGAGTGTGTCCACCTGTATTTTAGACTGAGTAGCTGTGGATCTGGAGGCTTGCCATCTTTGATTCTGGAATGGGTCATGGTGCCCCAAATGGACCCAATGTACAATTTGCGGGTCTTCCCAGATGCAACTTCTGCTCAAAGAACAGGTGGCAGCCATGCTCAGAGGACCTTTGTACACATCCACGTTGTGTGCCAGTTGCACCCACTTCTGAATTGGGAGGCCCTGTTCATGGTCACTCGTGCCTTGATCCCCTTGCAATCGGGTTACCACAATGTGCTCTACATGGGGTCATGCAGAAGCTGCAGCTGGTCCATAATGCAGCAGTGCAGGTAGTTATGGGTATACCTCGAAAGGCCCCTGTAAACATCTCTACTTTGGGAGCTGCACTGGTTACCAGTGAACTTCCAGGAACAATTTACAGTGTTGGTTCTCACCTGTGAAGATCTTCATGGTGCAGAACAAGGTTAATTGTGGGATCATGTGCCTCAAATTATTTCTGCTCATTTGGGAAGATCTGGCCCCGTCACTTAGGTGGGACTATAATCCGGTGGGACCCAGGAGATGTGCATTTTCTGTCAAAGGCCCTGCTCTTTGAAAAACCATCCTCCCTGAGACTCCGCTGGACCCACAACTGCCCACCTTTCCAAAGGCATTAAAGTTCTTTTCCCCGGTCCTGGGTTGAACACAGGTGGAATCTGCCTGGATGAATTTTTCTCAGCACTTTATGTCTTAATGTTTTTGTGATTTGTTTTTATTGTTTGATTACTATGCTGTTTTACATGGGTGTATGGCTGTTTATTGATGACGTACACTACCCTGAGTCATGTGCTGAGCTGGTGGCTACATAAATCACATAAATAAATCTATGATTATTCTTTCAGAACATGGCATGGACAAGAATTCCAAATGTGTGATTCCTTTTCCCATTGTTCCCAGCCCCCCTTTCAAGACCCCTTGATCTGGTTACATTTGTTCTCACTTTCTTTATGGTTTGCCCTACAGTACAAACACAACTGGAAATTGGTTTCTAACAGCTGGAGAAACTTAGCATAACCATATTCTTTCTATAAACCAGATTCTTTCTAGATAGTTATCCGGACCAAGAGAATAGGCCAGACGGTGGTTAAAGAGGGATGCCTTAGTTGCAGTTTTGTCATTATAATTTGATTTTCATTAAAGGGAGTCCTCGTTTAGTGACCACAATTAGGACTGGCAACTTGGCTGTTAAGTGAAGTAGTCGCTAAGTGAAACCATGATTGTGCTTATGATTTTACTTCAGCTTTCCTTTGCTTTACAGACCTGCAAAGATTAGTTGCAAAGTTACTTTTTCATCACTGTCATAACTGCAAACGGTCACTAAAATGAGGCGGTCCCTAAATGAGGACTACCTGTAGTTCACTTCCATAACAATACAGGAAGTTGCCTGGATCTGGAGTTGAGGCCTGGTTTATACTTCAGTAGACATTACAGGTAGTCCTTGGTTAACAACCACACATTCAGTGACTGTTCAAAGTTATGATGGCGCTGAATGAGGGGGACTTAAAACTGGTCCTGGAAGTTCTAGCCGTCCTAGCACCCCTGCGGTCATGTGATCGTGATCTGGGCACTGGGAAGCTGGGTTGCACTTACAATGGTTGCAGAATCCCATGGTCACGTGATCACCATTTGCAACCTTTGCTGCTGGCTTTCCACAAGCAAAATCAAGGAAGCTGGCAGGGAAGGTCGCAAGTCACACTGGTAAATCTCCCACATCTGGCAGCAGCCATCCCACCCCACCGCACTTGTACCACCCCAGCCCTTCGCACACCCTCATGTGCCCTTCCGCACCTGGCAATACCACAGTCCCACTGCACTCATACCATGCCAACCCTTGCACACCCTTGCGTGCTCTCCTGCACACTGCAGCAGCCACCCCAAGCCCCACCACGCTCACACCAGCCCCTTGCACACCCTTGTGCACCCTCCCACACTGCAGGAGCCCCCCCACCCTGCCACACTTGCACTGCACTGGCCCCTTGCGCACCCTCATGCACCCTCCCCCACCCAA